TTTTTTTTTTTTTTTTATTTGTTTGGTTAATTGTAATGGAGATTCTTCTGTGTTTTCAGGGCAAGAGAACTGTTCTACTATCTAAAAGGAGGGCAAGTTGATTATGGTGAAGAACACAGCAAGTCTTGTGGGCAAGAGAACTTAATGATGAAAATGGATAATTTCCATTTACAGGGCATTATCCCGAATATTCGGGACGACGATCACACTTTGTTGGTCATTCGGCCGGTGCACAGGTAATTCGGGTCTTGCAGCAAATGCTTGCTGATAAGGTAAAATCTTGTAAGAAGTTGGCTCAACTTCAAGTTTGTAAAAACTTGTTGGTTTTAGTATGTGACTTCAATAGGCTTTCGATGGATACGAAAACACCTCGCCTAACTGGGTCTTGAGCATAACCTCATTGTCCGGTGCATTCAACGGCACCACAAGAATCTATTTGGATGGCATGCAGTAAGTTCCTTTTCTTAAAGTTTGAAGCTTTATTTCAGATTAGTTTTAATTCACTACATGTAAATTCTCCCTTGCTCGCATAGACCCGATAACGGAAAATCAGTGAAGCCCGCTAGTCTTCTCCAACTGTGCCGCCTTGGAGTTATCTCTACGATTGGTTCGACACTTTACTACAATTTCAAATTCGACCATTTCAACTTGTCACAAAGGAAAACCGGCATCTGGGGCCTCGTGTGCCTCCTGGGCAAAACCGGCCCCTGTGCATCTGGCGATTGGATCCTTCCGGACCTTACGATCCAAGGTTCCATTCGGCTAAATGCGCACATATAGACATTTTCGGATACTTACTATTTTATTTTAGCTACACCACTAAATGAACGAGGAATGTTATGAGTGTCACGATTTGTTCGTTCGGTTTTGCAGATGAGCCAGTGGAGGTACCCTCCAGATGTTGAGCCTCCGTATAAAGGTTACAGGTGAGTATAATTTCGACAAAATATAATAATAATAATAATAATAATAATAATAATAATAATAATAATAATAATAATAATAATTGGTGGGATAATGATGGAGCACTCAACACAATATCGATGACACACCCTCGTTTTCCATTCGAGCACCCGAGCCATTTTGTCGTCAAGGATTCGGAATGCCAACCTTTACAGCCTGGCATATGGTTCGTTTTCCATTTATCGTTTTTTATTTCCCCTCTAAAAATGGCTTCAAAATGAAACCCGGAATATATAAATAAAATATATAAACTCCATATAACGTATTATTCAAAATGCAGGTATTACAAGATTGTTGAGGGAGATCATATTTTGTTCATCATCAACCGAAAGAGCCGGCGTGCAGTTTGATCTGATTTACGATAGTATTTTCAAGAGATGCAGAAAAAAACGCTTTTAGAAAGAAGCCTACATTGCCAAATCAAGTGCATCAATAGTAAGTGTAAAAGAAAAGAATTGTAAAAATCTCTCTCACATGAAAGGCTGGAGAATACTTTGAGGCTTGCTGCAAATCTTTTTATTCTTTTCGATGCAAACACATACTTAATGTGTAAAAAGGAAAAGAAAATACGGATTAGCACCTGATACCTTGGACCCAACAAATCACAAATATAACATTTTGGTCTATGCAAAACACACTAAAGAGTAAATTTGAAACGAGCACTTTTGATTGAAAAAACGCTAGCAAGCAATCACAAGTTTCCATGATACAAACAGCAACAAGAAAGATGAAAGGAGACAAGGAAAAAGAAAATGAAAAAGAGAAGGCCTCACAAGTAATGAAATCGGGCAAAAGAAGCCATCAAATAAGTCTCAGCTCATATTCACCAGCCATTGTTATGTATCTCACCCATGGCAGAGCCTGATACCCACTTTTTTCGATGATTTTCAGGTAGCGAACCTATAAGAACCCAAATTTCAATAATTACATTGTACGGTTAATTATAGTTAAACTTCAGTTCTAGATAGTGTCACAAAGATGATAGCATATATGAGGCCCCTAACTAGGAAAAAAAAAAAAAAGGAAAGGACAGGATAAATAAAAAAGTCCGTTGCTAGTGCAAGTTTGTGTTCACAATGTCAGTAATAAATTTGATATTCTTGCATATGTGGATTCATAAATAGATAGATTCGTGTTAAGAGGCTGACCTGTATGCCTGAAACAGTGAAGTATGGTATTTCAAACTTCACACGTATAGGGGCCTTTCTCTCTGGGGCCGATTCATCTGATGTTATACTGGGAAGCCTGAATTCGGCTCTCAACATATACTCCTGAAAAAGTAAAAAAGAAAAACGAAAAAAGCACAAAATTGAACTCATATAAAAATCCGTGCATGACTTAGGGCCTGATTGAATACAAATCTAACTGACCAGATAATTCAGTTAACTCAAATTAACTCAACCCGACTCTCCTCAATATTATCAATATAATCAAAATAATATCAATTAATCATTGTCAAACATCACATCTTTTAATTCAATATTCATGAATTCATCTACTCATAATTTTAATGACCCATCACTTCCAATCAGCGCACTTTTACATCTAATCAATTTTAATCATCACATTTTAAATATCATTAAAATACAAACTCAAATTTCATTAAATCAAAACTAAAACTTTTTTTGTTTTTTGTTTTTTTTTTTTTTTTTTTTTGTTTTTTCAAATTTAACTGATTTTACCTAATAAATCCAATCAAATTCAAATTAACTTATATCCAATCAGGCCCTTAGAGTTTTAGCACCACAGGCTGACCTGACCAACAAAGGAAAAATGAAATACTAGGTTTTAAAACATTCCTCACCTTACCACCAGGAAAAGATTTAATTTTCCAAACCAACGAGTCCTTCTCTGGAGCATAAGCGGCGGACCCCATTGATGTACGAACATTTGGATTGGTGGCATCGGCTGGGACAGGTAACTCGATTTCGACATTAGTTGCGGTACTGTAGATTGGAATGAACTCAGCAGTGAAATTAGAGATTTATGCAGTAACAATTATTTTAACAAAGAACAGGAAACAAATAAACACATCAGGCATAAATATGACCAGAAGAATTACCTACGCTCCTTGAACTGGCTCCTGGCTTTTACCATAATTTCTATGCGGCTCCTAGAGTGCCTTTCGACCTGTGCTTCTACCCATATTAGGGGCTTTACCTGAAAATAAATCATAACCAAGTACTTTAAGAGAATATCAGAATTTCAAAAAAATGATGTCGTATTTCAGAAATACGCCCCATCATTACAGGATGGAGTTTCATATCAGTGCACGGTGGATCAAATTCTTTTTCAATGTTAAACTCAAATTTAGAGGAGTTGTAAATAAACTATGGTCAAGGGGCATATCCCAATTGCATAAACATACCTGAGTGCTGAGCCTGTAGGTCATGAGGTCGAAAGATCCATCAGGAGGAATGAAGGATATTGTCCTGTCATTCTCAAATCGAGCCAAACGCACACACCTGAATCGGTAACAAGAATTTGAAATAAGTTTTAACTTTATAAAAGAAAGCCAATAAACAAAATCACATGATTTCATGTGCCACTTACACTCACACACACACACACACACACACACACACACACACACACAGGCACTTCTATATAATGTGAAATTTTCTCAGAAATATACAAAACTAGAAATTCTTGTTCCTAGTTCATCACATAGGAACCTTTTCCACGATAGGAACCTTTTCCACATTAAACTAGCTGCATCAGTTATTCAAAAATTGAAGTAATTACTAGTACATAAAAAAGTCGAGAAGATATTATTACATACTGATGAAACTTAATGTCATCCAGATCAATGGCTTTCCCCTTAGTAGCTCTCCCTTGTGCCTCAAGCAAAACTCTATCATTCAGCCCAAGCTTACACTCAGGCATACCACTGCAATCAATGTGGTTTTATTACTCAACTATCAAAATTTCATAATACATTCAAAATTTCATAATACATCAGACTGCACCTCGTTCAGAAAGGTTTGAATTTGATTGCAATTATATAGCAGAACAACAAAGTCAAAAGGTAGACTAGACGAAAGCAGGAGAAAACAAACCTCAAATATGTCCGCATCTTTAGAGCCCCAACAACGTCTGACCTAATTATCTGTCCATTGCTATTGACTAGTATGTTGACACTTTCCACAACGTCTAGGAAAACCTTGAAAACCAAAAAAATGGCCACATAAATAAAGTGTAATAGAAATGTATGCACTACTTGGCACACTAAGAGAAACTCACTTCATTCTTTTTGTAACGTATCCCTTCACTACGCCACGACACTGCATTTGTAACAGCCATCGGCGGCCTCTGCGCCACTTCCATTCTGTAAGCATCAGTCTTGATGAACTCACTAAGAATCTTGGCTTCAGTATATTGTGGGTAGCCAAAGTCCATAATCTCGTCAAGTAACTCATACTAAAAGATACCAAACATCAGATGTTAAATACAGTTATCAAAAATTTACTACCAAAAAAAATAAAAATAAAAAAAAAAATACTGAAGAGGCAATGTAGATTTTGTACCACTACAACAAAATTATCCCTTAGTGATTCTTCTTCTAACTCTTCAAAGTAATGTTTAAAGACCTGTCATGAAATTCGTACAAATACAACTTTTAGAGAAACTAGTACAGGTAGCGCACTGGGTTATAGAGCAAATACAACTTAAATTACAAATGGTGCTTACATCGACTACTCGGTGTAGGAATAGAAGGAGGCTAGCAGCATTACAGTTCTGCCGGGTTGCGGTCATGAGATAAACATTGTTGTGTTGGATGAACATGTATGTGATGCCATTGTCATGTACAACAGGATCATGACTCTCTGGATCACCCTATATCATTTGTTTACAGAAAAAAATTACTTTTGTGTGTTCAATCAAGGAACATGAGAAACACACACAAACACACACACGCAATAAAGAAGCAACGACTGATAAGTGATAAGACGAATAATAGGAACGCAATAAAATTAAAATAAAAATGTATCAGTTAGCTTATTCGACAGCAAAATTATGAATACTGCACCAGACAAAAGGATCACCCAATTTTCACTCACACGCCAAAATGATCTCCATCGGGACAAAAATAACAAGCTAAAACTTCAAGCTACATCAAGCCGCAAAGCAAAACATCCCGACTGATGAATGAATAATAGGAAAGCACTACATTCAGCAAAATGTTCGAACCAGTTAGCTTATTAGACATCAAAACTATGAATACTGCACCAGACAAAACTCATTTTTTCACTCACACGCCAAACTGATCTCCATAGGGATTAGGGACAATAAAAGCTAAATCACCAAGTTACATCAAACCACAAACCGAAACATCCTGACTGATTCGATGAATAATAAGAAATCCCTAATTCAGCAAACTATTTAAATCAGTTGGTTTATTAGACACCGACATTATGAATACTGCACCTGACTAAAATCACTAATTTTTCTATTACACACCAAAATGATCAACATAGGGACAAAAAAGAAAAGCTAAATCTTCAAGTTACACCAAATCGCAAAGCAAAACATCCGACTGATGAGATGAATAATAGGAAAGCCCTAAATTCAGCAAAATATTTGAATCAATTAGCTCTTTAGACAACAAAATTATGAATACTGCACCTGACTAAAATCGCTTATTTTTCAATCACAAGCCAAATTGATCTCCCATAGGCACAAAAAGAGCAAGCTAAATCACCCAAGTAACATCAGATCAAGCTTGAAATTCGCACAAACAGATCCTATCCATCGCACTACAGCTCCACAAGTAGAAATACTAATCACTCGCTGCCCGAGATTCAAACATATCTTCAAATTGGGCAAGCTCATCTTCTATTTCGAAAGCAGTGCGCACAAAA